GATAGATAGATAGATAGATAGATAGATAGATGGATAGATAGATAGATAGAACTACTTTATTATTCCCAAGGGGTCATTTTTGTCGTTACAGCACAATCATAAAGTTGCCACCACCATAAATACAGATACATAACCAAAAATAAACAAAAATGCAAAATATGTAATAAATGTAGTACTGTCAAATAATGGATTGTAGTGCAAATATTAATGTGCAATAAAATCGTACACCAGAGTGTGCAAAGGGCAATTTCATAGACCAGATGCCACAAGGCAGAGAGGGCTGATCTCTCTGCCAGCCAGCAGTGATGAGTTAAACAGGGTTAGTGCTTGTGGCAGGACAGACTTCCTGTATCTGTCCTTGTGGCGGTGGAGCTGGACCATCCTGTTGGAGAAGCTGCTCCGCTGCCTGTCCAGCAGGGGGTGAAGGAGGTGGTGAGAGTTATCCAGGATGGACAACAGCTTATTTAAAGTCCTCCATTCCACCACAGCTTCAAGACAGTCTGGTTTGCAGCCAATCACAGAGTCGGCTTTCCTGATCAGTTTGTTCAGTCTGTTCTTATCACCGGCTCCGATGCTGCTCCCCCAGCAGACCGCTGCAAAGTCCAGGGCGCTGGCCACAGCAGACCGGTAGAAGACCTCCGACATCCTGCTGCATACGTTGAAGGAGCTCAGCTTCTTCAGAAAATAGCGTCTGCTCATCCCCAAACTTGTGAACGCTCCTTACTGATAGACTGAGTATAGAAAGAAATTCAAATATGTTACACACCAGAAGCGATAAAAGTATCTGCAATATCACTTAAATGTCAAATAATTCTACAATGTACCAAGTAAATATTAAGTTTACAGGCAAAGTATTACCTCTTATGAACGCTGAAAAACAAATGCTTTAGAAAGACTGTGAAAAACAGAAAAAAATTCAGGTACAAAGTCAATGCAACACAATAGTGTGCACTGTCTCTGTCGGTGTTGTGTTGTTACTAGTACAACAGTTTCCCTGAGGTACCCTACCAAAGGGATCAATAAAGTTCTATCTAATCTAATCTAACCTATGATCACTGACACCGATGTCAGAAAACTTGTGACCCTTCTCACACATTTGAACACATCTGTGATTTTCAGTTTGTGTAGCTGCAGGAACATGATTATTAAATGATCTGTGTTTTCAACTTTGGACCAATGTCGATCCACATGATTACATCATTGCTTCATGTGGAGAAGAATTTGCTAGAGCAGTTGCAAAATCTGATTGTGAGACATCACAAAGATGGAAAATGACACAACAACATTAGTGACCAACTAAAAATCAGTGCAAACACAGTCGCAGCTGTAATCAGTACAGCACAGACCGAGCCATAGTGCTACTAATCAGATAGTTCCACATACAGTCCACTACTTGTTCTATCTAGCTTTGAAAAACAAACGTGCAGATGCGTCAGACTTGGCACAGGGATTTTAAATGAAACTCAGAGTGTGTATGGCAGGTCAGACAATGTAAAGCATGTTACATTACATCAGACTTTATTGACCGCAAACAAGAAAACAACCTTTGCTTGCTCTTTGGCACAAAACTTCAAGATTAAAGTTTACTAAAGAACATGAAAATAAGTCTGGTGAGTATTGGGAGCAAATTCTTTGGTCAGATGAGACCAAGATAAATTTATGTGGCTTAAATGGGGTCCACCAGAACTATATCTACAACCAAACATTAAAGGCCCATACTGCCACCTACTGGACCAGTGGCAGTATGAAGAAACTGTACTATAAATACTAAACCTTCTGTCACATATTTAAATAAAGGCATTTGAACCTGTCGTTGCTTGTATCATGTATCTAATAGACCTTTGATTCTCCATTCTCATCCATTATTTACCACCCATATGAGAAAAGTACAAAAAACAAGTTTTGGATGGATAGGCAAGGACATAGCAGAATCATCAAATAGAATTTATTCCAACAGTGTGGAGCAAAATGCTTGTGTTGACATGGATTACCAAACATTAAGCGAGGTAATATAACAGCAACTCTTGTTAAAGTATGTTATAGCAACAGGGACATGAAATACAACCACTTACAGACAGGACACTACAACATTAGGAACATTTTTTACAAAAGAGTTCAAGTAAGTAAGAAATAATAAAACCAACAGGAAAAAGCAAATACATTGAAATGGATTAAGAACTGGTCATGGCAGCTTGAATAGTTCACTTTTTATCATTATGGAAACAACCAGCAAATCAGTGTCTTGAAAAAGAGACAATGGAGCACTGCCTTCCATCCATCCATCATCTATACATCTATAATCCTCACTGGGGTCACGGGGGGCTGGAGTCTATCCCAGCTGACTCAGGGTGAAGGCAGGGGACACCCTGGACAGGTCACCAGTCTATCACAGGGCTACACTTAGAGACAGACGACCGAGCACACTCACATTCACACCTACAGGCAATTTAGAATCATCAGTTAACCTCAACATGTTTTTGGACCTTGTGGGAGGAAGCCGGAGAACCTGGAGAGAACCCACGCTGCACATGCACAAGATCCCGGGTGTCCTCACCGGGACGTGAACCGGCGACCTTCTTGCTGTGAGGCAACAGTGGTAACCACCGAGTCACCTTGCAGCCCCACTGCCTTTTTCATGCAGGAAATATCCAGGGGAAAGACGGCCAATGGTTGCTGGCAGTGCCATTGTCAGACCTGGACATTGGAGGCTACACCCCTGGATGTTTTATGAATAGCCCCAGATCTCACTTTTCAAAAAAATAAACGTAATAATTAAAAAGTAGAATCGTAATCATCTGCTTCAAAGGCCCTACTTTCTGAAAAAAAAGTTAGTTATGGGAAACAGGTGTTTCACTGTACACAGAACACAGTCTGACCATCAGACTTTTTCTTTATTCCAGCACATAATCTAGTTGAATCTTTCCCAGAGAGATTTTTAAACTACTTTATTTACAAAATAGCAGACATTTGTCAGGGAGTTTAATGTGAATTCTTGTTTACCTTTAACGTTAACCCACTTCGATGTGATCTTCTGTCAACCCTGGAGCACACGGTTGTCTATTCAAGAAAACCCACATGCTTTTTAGATTGTATGTCCTCTTGGTTTTAAAAGCTATTCAGATGGTTGGTCCAGATATTCTAGCTATTATTAACTGCTTTCTGGCCACTGGGATTTTCCTTTCCTTTTTTAAACATGCCACTGTTTACCCCCTTTTAAAGAAGCCCTCTCTAGAGCTCTGCTTTCATTTTAATGTTTAGATCCTTCTCCAAGCTACCAATTTTAACTAAGAGTTTAGAAAAAAAAAACAAAAACATGTCCATGCACCTGATGCCTTCTATGAACAACAACAGGATTTTTGAAAAAATTTCAATCTAGTTGTCACTCGCTGGAGACTGCTCTGGTAAAGGCCTCAAACTAACAACTCTGGTCTCTGTTCTATTTCAGTTCTCCTTGACCTTAGTTCAGCCTTTCACACAATGGATGACAATGCCATAAACAGCCGTCTGAAAAGCTGTGTTGTCATCAGTGATGTGGGCTGGGATTGATTTATCTCATATTTCTCAAACAGGTCCTTCACTGTCATGCTTGGAGATGTATACTCTAGTGGGGTCATCCAGGGGTCTATTTTGGGTCCCTTCTTATTCACTGTTACTGCTGGAGCAAATCCTTTGTAGACATGGCATCAATTTCCATTAAATTATGGCCAAAACCTAACTGTAAGTCCTGTTAAGACATAATATGTGAAGCTGACATTTCACATATTATGTCCTGTCCAGCAGAAATTAAAAATTGGATGTAAAAAAGTGTTCTGCAGCTGAATGGCTTCAAATCAAAAGTCATTAATATACCCTTTTCTGGGCCCAGCACTAGCAGCATAAAACAATCAGTCCTCTCACCTCAGTGCATTATCATGTATGAAAGGACAAGGACATGCATACATACAAAGATTGCAGTTGGTTCAAAATGCTGTTGCCTCTGTCTTTTCTGATTGTGGGTCAACCCAAGGGCTGCACCTTGGTGGCATTTTTTTGTGTAAGCTGGCTAGACAAAACCTAAGTGGCCTTTGTGACTCATCAGTATGCACTTTGGCAAATTCCAGTTGGTGCATGGACACTATGGTTATCGAGAGACACTGCTGTCCTTGTTGTCCTCACCTGGAACTTTAACTGCTGAAATCTAGGCCTTTTTACCTCCACAGTGAATTCACTCAGGTGTTTGGAGCTGCTGTGTACAACCGCCCACTAGCTAATGCTAACATAGCTATGAGTAGACTGCATAACAGCATGAGTGAGCAGCAAAATAAATACCCAGAGGGCTTTTTCATCATGGCTGGAGATTTTACTCACACCAACGTAAAGACTGTGCTCCCCAGATTTTATAAAAATGTGAACATTAAAACAAGGAATGGCAAAACATTAGATCAGGTTTACAACACCTTTTTGATTTGTTTTTTAAAATTATTTATTTTTATGTCACTTTAAAAGCAAAGAAAATGACATTTCTACTGTGCACATTTTTCTGCTCATATTTCCTTTGCTTTTAAATCGACATTATAAAAAAAAGATTAAATTTTTGTAATGAAACAAATAATAAAAAATAAAGAAATAAAAATGTAAAAATAATTTTTAAAAAAATAACACTAAAAAATAATTTATATATATATATATATATATATATATATATATTAAAATATATTTTATTATTTCATTTATTTGTCTTTATATTTCTACTTTTGTTCGCCTTTTCTTTTATGGATTCATTTTTGATTAACGTTGCTTTATATTGCCACATTAGGGTTTTTTTTTTTCGCTTTTATTTTATTATACTTTTATTGGTTTATTTTTGTAATTTGGCACTCTCACTACTCCATAATTTAGGTTTTATGAAAGCCGCTTGATGATAATGAATGGGACAGTAGTTCACCATTAGGGCCAGAAGGGGGCAGTGGTGCAGCTTAAAGGACGCCTACTGCGATGAGTCCCCAAAGAAGAAGAACGTGACTTGTGTCACATGACTACGCCCCAATTAGGCTACTTTGCTAACAAAATGGCAGCGTTCTTACAGTGGAGAAAATTTGTTTTCTTTGATAAAGATACTGTGAAGGATCCTGTGGATAATGGGAAAGACTTTGTTCTTCCAAAGGGAATCTCGGCTTGTGACTCGGGCCGCGGTCACATCGTTCTGGGTGATATCCTTTCATGGAGTCAGTTCACTAGCTCGGCTACTGTTATGCTAGCTTACTGATGCTAGCTCCGACTTAGCAAATGTGAAGCTTAAACCGAGGAAATTTAGAAGGCGTCTCAGAAACGAGTGGCTGTTGTCTTAACACATAAATTGAAGCAACGGGCTGAAGACTGAACAGTAGAGCCAGACTGTCCTCTGCTGTCTGGCAGTGGAAACGGCGTCACACCAAACTGATTAACATCCTCACATTATGAGTGCAGCCAATACTGTTCATCTCAGTATACATTAAACACATTGAGAATAAGCTAAACTACGACTACTTGTGATCCTACATAGTCCTCCTGTATAATAACGTTTACTTGTAGACAGACGACATATATAACATCTTATACAAACGGATGCTGTAACTGTCTTTAACCTGTGTAATACATATGGATGGCAGGATCTGGCTGTTGACGCGCTCCCTGCAGCTCGCTGCTTTTCAGGCCTACAAGCTGCGGGTAACACACCTCTATCAGCTGAAGCAGCACAGTATTCTAGTGTCAGTGGGGCAGGATGAACATGGAATTAACCCTTTAGTAAGTATTGTGTTTTCCAGAGAAGTTTTAAACGCAGAAGAGTTGTGCAAATGATTTGAAACCACCACTAAACTGAACTGATTTCTCAGGTAAAGGTCTGGAACCTCGATAAGAGAGACAGCGGAAATCCTCTCTGCACCAGGATTTTTCCTGCAATTCCCGGCAACAAACCGACTGAAGTGTCTTGCCTCAGTGTACACGAGAACCTCAACTTTATGGCCATTGGTAAGACATAAAGAAAGGTTCTGCTTTTCTTCAAATTGACTCTGTGAGCACTACAAGAGGTTATAAAGGGTGTTGTGTTTTTTGACAGGCTTCACAGACGGCAGCGTGGTTTTGACCAAAGGCGACATCACCAGAGATCGTCACAGTAAAACTCTGACTCTGCATGAGGGAACCAGCCCAGTCACAGGCCTTGCCTTCCGCCAAGTAGCAAAAGTTACGCATTTATTTGTCGCCACTCTGGAGAAAGTCCATGTAAGTCTGGTCATTCCTGGAACATTGGGGTTGATGCAGCCATTACATATTCAACAGTTTATTCAGCCAGTTTTAAAGATAATTTTTTCTGATGTTGCCATTTTATGATCTCCTACTTTCCTTGCTTGTCTACCCCCGTTCAGTGCTACACCCTGTCCATCAAGGAGTATCCCAAAGTAGAGCTGGATACACATGGCTGCGCACTGCAGTGCTCTTCTTTGGCAGATCCGTCCCAAGATTCCCAGTTTATTGTGGCTGGTGATGAATGTGTGTACCTGTATCAGCCGGACGAACGAGGCCCCTGCTTTGCCTTTGATGGACACAAGCTTCTGGCCCACTGGCACCGTGGATATCTGTTCTTACTTATCAGGGACATAAAGTCACCCAACAAGTAAGGACATCGCTGACCCAAAAAAAGTGAATGTGTATTGATCATCTGTGTTTATATGACATTTTAGATGTTCACGTTGAGGTGTTTCAGTCAGGAAAATCTTTACATGTACTACTGACAGATTAAGATGGTTATTTAGCAAAGATCTGTAAACATTTTCTCTCCAGCTGTTATTTCGTACTACCACCGAACCATCTAATAGTGTCAACAAGCTATAAGAGAACAGACAATATTCCAGTGTTGGGCTAATTTCAAATAAGTGTTTTAATGTCAGATTTTAGGCCAGCACTTAATGATCAGCTCATGAAAGTTTCACAGAAAGACGGATGTTTCCTATGAGACTGCTGACAGTGTTCATCTTCATATCAGGTCAGGGTTTGGGAGCAGGGAAAGCTTCCCATCAGACAAACAGCTTCTGACCATCTATGACCTGGACAACAAGTTCATCGCCTACAGTGCCTCTTTTGATGACGTGATTGACGTAGTAGCAGAGTGGGGCTCCTTCTACATTCTGACCAGAGAGGGAAAAATGTTTGTTCTCCAAGAGAAAGACACACAGACCAAACTTGAGGTGTGTCCCAAGGCTGCAATCTGTGATTGACAATTCACTACTTGTAAAGAACAGTGATGATGAATGTAATCCCTATAATTCAACATACTACCCAGCATTGTTCTGGATTAGAAAGCAGGGTTGTTACCTCCATGTTTCTATTTGAAGATGCTGTTTAAGAAGAACCTGTTTGTGATGGCCATAAACCTGGCTAAGAGCCAACACCTGGACAGTGACGGACTGTCAGAGATCTTCAGACAATATGGCGATCATCTGTACCTTAAAGGAGATCATGATGGTGCCATCCAACAGTACATTCGGTAATTAAAACGCTAAATATTTGCCAGGGCAGAAACAGTTTTTATTATGTTAAATTGGACTGAGACATGACTAATCCTTTAGCCTTTTATTTTCTGTTATATCATTATGAGATATACCAGAGGAAAGGTGCCACGATGATTTTGTGAGATGAGCTAATTTTTTTAGTGTAGCACTACAATTGATTTCTCTGTAGTTGCACAGTTTTCACACACTGGATCGCTGATCATTTCAACAACACTTCAAACATCACTGTGTTTTTCAACAGCACTATTGGCAAACTGGAGCCATCGTACGTCATCAGGAAGTTCCTGGATGCACAGAGGATCCACAACCTGACAGCTTATCTGCAAGCTCTGCACAGGCAGTCATTGGCCAACGCAGACCACACCACTCTGCTGCTGAACTGTTACACCAAGCTAAAGGACAGCTCCAAGCTGGAAGAGTTCATTAAGGTTTGACTGACAGATGATAGGATACACTAGTGTTTTTCACAATAACTACAAATGTTAAAGTAAAGGCATAGAAAATCTAACAGCAGCTTTTACAGTAACATTATTAAGTGGCTTCCATCCCAGAACAGGTGTGTCTGAATGGATAAGCCATGAAAGGCTGCCATATTTAACACAGTTGTCTTTCTGCACTCCATTTCAACAGAGCAGTGAAAGTGAAGTCCACTTTGATGTTGAGATCGCCATCAAGGTTCTGCGCCAGGCTGGCTACCACAGCCATGCTGTCTTCTTGGCTGAGAAACACATGCACCACGAGTGGTACCTCAAGATCCAGCTGGAGGACCTCAAAGTAAAAATGTGCAAGTAGATGTACAAGCTTTTGTCAGAGAGATGTGTGAAATCATCTTTTGGGCTGTCCAGGTGCTCATTTGGTTGTTCTAATGTGCAGCCACAAGGAATGTTAAATGAAAACAAATTCATTACTTTTGTACAGACAGACATAAGTAGCACCCTTTATTCTGTATTTTATGATACAGTTTAAACCAAATGTCACACCTTCTTCTGAGTCTTAACGCAGTCCAAGAACATCTGACAAAGCATACAAGAATTATATAAAAGCTGAAGTCACAGGAAAAAGGTGCTACTTTCAACTTGAGATCTTGTCTCATAATAATTATGGGATGTTTGTACAATGCCAATAGAAAGTGCTTGTAGCTAAGCAGCAGGACTTTTTTTTGATGCGGATAAGCAGGACTTTTTTTTGATGCGGATATGCAAATATGTAAGTAACGGCACCATTCGACATAGGATACATGACATCACTGTTTTGTCAGTCTGTTTGAGTGGTAGCATTCTGTCACTCGGACATGCGTCGCTTTTACATTAATGTTCTTCACGGCTTCATTCTGAGTTGTGGTACACCTGATATTTCTTATACATGCAAGACTGGGTATGTAAATTCCGTGTGATGATAACCTAACTACTAATTTACAAACAGTAACATAAAAAATATCCCAGCAGCTGCGATGGAGCTCAGGACTTAACCTGAGGATGGCCACTGTGTAACAAACGATTTAACTGCAGCTTATAAACTGTGTGACAACTCACCTGTGTGATATGAAGGGAGATACACAGTGTGACTTGCTGGTAAATCCCTTCTCCATGTCAGGATAATTGACAGCTATCAGTAATAAATGGCGTTGTGATGCAGGAACATCACTCGGCCTGACCTGAGGTGCCCATAAAGAGTGTTCACGTCATTGGAAAGTTTTCACCTTTTACTGCTTTTAAGCAATAAATCATGATCAATTTACTTTTTGACAAGAATTTACAAAAACATCTCATGTCAAAGTGAATCAAGATTTGTAAATAGTAATGTCAATTAAGATGCAAAATGTAAAACCAGTATTCACCTACTTTAAAGAGACTTTCCTAATTCAACACATGTGCAGCTAAGTTGGTGCTCGAAGTCACAAAAATATTAAAATCATCTGAGTGCAGGGAATGTGTCACGAGGGAACGTAGTGTAAAGACACCTGTATCTGGAAGGTCCGGTCACTGGTGAATCAGCACTTCCAGCTGTAACTACACCATGGAAACACAGGAGCACTTCAAGCCACTCTGTGAAATAGATTGTGAAAAGCATAACCCAAGGGATAGATACAAGAAAATACAGAGCTGTTAGAAGTTTATTAGTCAAACATTCAGCAAAGGTCATTCACAAACATTTTATCAGCTTCCCCCAGATTAGTTGTTCCATGTGGAATAAAGTTTGATATTCTGTAGGTGTTCTTTTTACCTCATGCTCAAGTATTTTGACAGGAAATGACAAACCAAAGTAAGGGATAGTCTCAAAAGTGCATGCAAAATAGCCAGAATTTATTTAATAGCTTTATTTATCTAAGGCACTTGAGACAAACTTGACATTTAGTCTTAAATTAGTCTAAAGAAAATCCTGCAATATGGCCCAGTGGACTCCAGACTTATATTTCCCTATAGTTTATTTCTGTTGTATTTCCCGTCTCTATATCCCCCTGATCCAACAGCAGTTAGTTTGTTCTCACTTTAGATTTGTTTTGTCTTTTTTAGATGGGATTTAAATATATATCAGTGGACTTGGGTACATAACACCCACAGCATTATTTGATGGGCACAGTAACTCACTTATTTTGTTTCCCTCTCAAACCCAGAACTACCAGGAAGGGTTGCGTTACATCGGACGTCTGTCTTTTGAACAAGCTGAGAGCAACATGAAGCGGTATGGAAAGACACTCATGCACCACGTTCCTGAAGGTACCACGCTGCTCTTGAAGGGTCTGTGCACCAACTACAAACCCAGTGGAGACATTGCTGAAAAAGACAGCCTGGACATGAGTCGGCTCAATAAGGTGAGTTGGCAGTACTGTTGCTCTCCTTTGTATTTAAGACTAAATCCTCACAGATCATACATTTAAGACATTTATCTCAAATATCGACCTAAGCAACTGTTCATTCTTGTTTAGGCCAACTCAGAGGAATTCATCCCGATTTTTGCCAATAATCCTCGGGAGCTGAAAGCCTTCCTGGAGCACATGATCAAGGTTGACCCCAGTTCTCCTCAGGGGGTGTATGACACACTGCTGGAGCTCCGGCTGCAAGACTGGGCACATGAACAGGATCCTGAAGTCAGTGCAGAACACACAAGCTAGTTAGCTACCATTTGCACAGCGTGATATACATTTTTGTTTACTTTGGAAAGCCTCTCCATTATTTCTGATGTGTATGTTTGGCAGAGAAAAAAGGTCCTGCAGGGGGAAGCTGTGCTGCTGCTGAGGAGTGACAACACTGTGTTTGACAAGGCCCTGGTCCTTTGCCAGATGCACAACTTCAAAGAAGGCGTCCTCTACCTTTATGAGAAGGGCAAACTGTAAGTGAGGGAAACCAAACAGCCTACAGATTTATATGAGCCTAGTTGAGGTGATTAAGCAGCACATCACAACTTCTCATTACTCACTGTTCCCATGTGTCAAGTAAAAATGAATCTTTGGCTA